CGAAATCTATTTAATGGTTTCTAATGGGGATGTAATTGATAGTTGGCATATGAGAAGAAAGCAAATGAGCTTAATATTCAGTCCGTTCAATGTATCAAGGGGTAATTATTATGAATAAATTATAAAAATGAATCGCATATTATTATTATAATATGTGCTTTGTTATAGAATATTTTATGAAACTAAAAATGTTCATTTGACATATGTGTTTATAAAGTTCAATCTCAATCTGAGAGGATGCGGTCGAGTAGTAGTCTGTAAAAAAAAAAAAAAAGAGAGAAAGAAGGCAACATAAAAAAATGCAAATAAAAATAAAATAAACCACGATAGGAGTTTAGGAGTATTGTGGGACGAATAATTATGCCGGATATTTGCATATGCGTGTTATAATAATACAACATTAACAATACATATATAATTATTCTTTTTTTTATATATAACATATATATATATATATATATGTATATATACATGTAACATGTGTATATATATATATGTATATGTATATTTTTCCCTCGAAAATCTCGTTGAGCGAAAGTTATTTCAGACAGAATTCGCATCGATTCTCATTGTCATAAACCTTTTCATTTATTGTTGTTCGGAAAGTTCGTGCCGATTTCTGGTAGATGGCATTAAAGTTCTTTTGCTAAAAAAAAAACCTGAGAAGTTTTGAAAGGAGGAAATTTTGAAGTTACCTTTAAAGATGGAAAAAAGATTGTAAAACAGAATGGCACTTAGATATAATTTAATAAATATATATCAACCAACAAGAAAAACTTCAATTGCAAAACATTTCAATCTTGCATCAAAATCGGCTAGAACTTTACGGACAACCCAAGAATCATATTACATTTGTGCAACCTTGGAACAAAAAAAAAATAAATAATAGATTGTTTTAACAGTAAATCACCATCCATCGAGTTTATATTTTTGTTTTCTCAAAATATTAGAATTACTCGAGATTCAGGCTGAAAAGGGGATATACAATGTTGTTGCAGGTTAATGTTGAATTCTGTCGTTTAATGGAATCTTGCTCGGGAAATTACGGATTTATTATATCTCTTGTAATTTAAAGGTAGAGAAAAAAAAATATACATACATATACATTTTACAATGGCATTCCTCGTAGTTGGAACATTTAATATTTAAGAAAAATCCTGAAATTATAAAGGATGATACATTTTGTTATCTCTCTCTATAATACGTACGTAGGTGTCTGCCTTATTTTGTTTATTTAGTTTTAACTTATACGTTCTCTAAATTTTAGAGAGCACACACAACACACAACCCTTTTCTTAAACTAAGAATCTGGGCACCCCCGTGAGCGCTTCTAAAGAGCTAAAAGTAAAATCGAGTAGTTGAAGTAATAAAAAAAAAAAAAAAAAAAAGGAAAATTAAGTGTCGCAAGTGTTAAAAGGGGAAAAAAGAAACAACACACAGATGAAAAAAAGTGATTAAGCGACATTTCATTTTGCGAAAAGTATAATAATCGTACTTTACCTGACCAGCGATATATATATACTATATAGCGTATATATATATATATTATTATTACTACTACTACTACGTAACGTAAAAAAAAAACTAACACGTTTTTTCTTTGAAGAGCATTATCGTCGATATATATATATATATATATATATATATATAAATTTCAATTTAAAATTTTATGTGCCGTCATAAAAAAAGAAATGGCATTATTTTCTTTCTTCCTGTAAATGTACTTTCTTGTGTTCGTGCTACATTATAATGATAATATAAACATTAGAATAACGATATTAGTATTAATAATCATAATAATAATAATAATAATAATAATAATTAGTGTCACTCGAGCTAGCAGTGCAGTAAGTAGTGAAAGAATGGCCAATTACTGCTCAAAAAAAAAAAAAAAGCTTATCGATGTTTTTCAATAATTACTGAATGAAATTCTTAAGTGCTTGTGTGTTTCTACAAAGAAAAAAAAACAATAATTTGAGATTGTACATGTTTAAAAACATTCTTAATTGAGGTTAATTTATATATAACGATTTTAAATTCTATCGTTATATATAATTTAAATATAAATACAGTAATCAATAAAGGTATTAACACGTTGAATACTACGTCAGTCATAAGTGACTGTCACTGAACTCAAGTTCAGGCTAGACACCAACATGGCGTCAAGCGCCGGTGACTGGCGAAGATTTCCGTAAGAATTCGTGTGGTAGCTCAACGTGTTAAAATATGTTGCAAAATTAAATGAAAACATTGATGTTGATTACTATCAAAATTCTCAATTTCTATTATTAAAAAAAAACAAACAAAAAACAATCGATATTGGAAGATCTCGTTTGTACGTAGAAAAAAAAAAAATTACATAATCTCAATTTTTTGTTTCACCAATAAAAAATGATCTTACACAATAACACTTAAAATTGAACGTGATACAAGCAAGACATCGTTTTAATTTGATTTATAGGTAATATCGGAAGCTTCATCATTACTATTAAACTTTAAGAATAATCGCGTATATCATTGTTATTTTCTAGAAATTATGCGAGTATTATAAAGCACCCATCATATATTTGTGTACACTGTAATACTATCGTACGATAAGCACATTTGTCTTTCTTTATATTATTATTATGTTTACGATTTAATTATTTAAAATGTGAAACTATTAAAAATTTGGATGAAATTCTTATTAAGTTCTATCTGTGGCAAAAAAAGATAAATAGTTATTATATATAAGTTCAATATTTAACAAAAAAATAACTGGCACTTATTTCAAATATATATTATTCGTTGATGTAATTTTCAATATTTACGTTACATGTTTGCAAACGATATATATTTCTATATCCATTACTTTAACGATTAATATTTTTCATTAACATACATTGAAAATACTTACGTTTTTGTTTCACTATTTTGTTTTCATTTCATTCAATCATATGAATCCTTTTGTATTTATTATTTTTCTATTAACATTAAATTAAATAAAAATTGTAATGCTTCAATTATACTTAAATTAATAAAACTATTGAATCCAACAAACAACTTTTCCGATAAAATAAAAAGTAATATATTTTCGTTTATTAGAATTAAAAAATTTATTTTATCTTTATGTTAAGAGTTGAACATTGTATTAATCTTAAATAATATAATTCAATTTTGTATATTTGTTCATTGAGAAATTTGCAAATATAAACATAACATCATAAAAGGTATTCTTTCTTGTTTTTTTTTTTTTTTTTTACATAAGTGAAAATGTTTTTCTTTCATTCATTTATTTTATTTTAACGCAAATTACACATCGTTAGGTGCTTTTGAAATTGCAAACACTTTTAAAACAGTTTGTACGTAATGTATTTAGTTTGAAAAAAAGAAAAAAGGTGTATGAAAATTATTTTTGTAAATTTATACGGTGTTATTGCTTTTCTTTGTATATTATACTTTATTCCAATTTTACAAATACCATGATTTTTCTTTTTTTTTCTGAGCGAAATGACATGATGATATATTTAAATAATAATAATTATAATAATAATAATTTAAAAATATTTCATACAAAATACATTCCGCCATAATAAAATTCTATTGAAAGGTCTATAAACTTCGTTCTTTATTCAAACTATTATAACTTTTCTTGTTTTTTGTTTGATAAGTTTAATAGATTTATCCATTTTTCTTTTCTACGAAAACGTGTCGCAAACATTTGTTGTTAAATTCATTCTTATGTTAACACTAGATATACCACCATTTTCAGTATACCTCTAACTTCTCTACCACACTAGTCAAAATGACTGGTGGATAAAAAAAAATGCTTTTTAAAATTATCACACAGTCATTATTTATTCTTAAACAAATTACAAAAAAATGTTTAACAATAATCATTTTAATAGATATTTTTAAATAACAAAACGCTTAATTATTTACAGAAATCAAATGTTACATGAAGTAGACATTTGAATTAAAATGGCGCCCAACCAATCAAAATGACTGATCTGGTATATCTAATGTTAATGAGGTTCACTTTCATATATTATTTAATAATATTTGGGCACAATGAAATAAATTTCTAATATCTAAGGCAGTGGTTCTCAAAGCTGACGATGAAATGGTAAAGGGTTTGCATTAAAAAAAGGTCATCCAGAAATTTCCAAAGGGACACTAAGAAGTAATATTTTGTTAAGTAAGAGGACAAGAAATCAAACCGAGTAGTTTGAGAACCACTGATCTAAGGTAACCAATACTACAACAATCAATGTTACTTATGCGTCAATCAATTGATAATAAAGCAATGTCAGTTCCAAATATTTGTTAATGTAGTCAATAAATGTAAATTATATCAAATGAAATGATTATTTATCTATTGAAATAAAATGCGTCTAAGTTGTCGTCGTGATGAGATATAATTATTATAAAACATTAATAACAATATGAATCCGTATATCATAGATTGGCGGAAATAAAATTATGATCAACAAAACAACTTGCTGGCGCCATGAGCATTACTTTCACTATGTTGTAAGGTTCAAGTAAAAAAATGTTATGTTAAAAATAAACAAGCAAAATTTGTAATCATTATGAGTCTTATAACATACTTTCGTAAATAATATATAATATAATCATATATATATATATATATATATATATATATATATATATATAAAAAGCAACATTGACGTTACACATATGTACACGTTCCTCATGGTTTCCATTAATTTTTATATTATCGACTTATATATAAATATATATTCTTTGCAAATATTTTCAAAACTTAAAATAAATTGAAAACAACAAAATGGTTGGGTGTGTCATATAAAAAAAGGTACAAAGCGTATCGTTGATGTTGTTTAAATATTACAAATATTCAAACATTCAATTGAAGAGAATGTAATAAATTGTACAACAATGAGATCTAAATAATGACGAGCAAAAAATTAATTTCAATATTTAATTAATAGAAAAAAATTCATAACTCACGCGTATCTTCTGTCATTTACTGTTTCATATTTTTTTTTTTTTCTAAGCCGGAAGGTGCTTTTTAATAATAATAATAATAATTATTATTATTATTATTGTTCGCAATAAACTTTGAAAGGATAGTTCGCTCAATATTATAAAACACAAGTTCGTTAATTAATTTTTTTCATAATCATCCTGTTACTTCGAATAAAATTATTAATAATGCATGCTATGTTGTGTTTTAGATTAATCAAGAAAAAATGTAATATTTAAAAAAAAAAAAAATAAAAAATTCAATATATTTATTCATTTATAATTATTAACATTGCCATAGAAAAACTATCAGAGATGATAATACATTTCTTTATATTTGATAATGTTCTACGACAAAGGAAATGAAAATGTTTCATAAAAATAAAAATAAAAGGGGGAAAAAAAAAGATAAAAAGAAATGTGAGAGTTTGATTGTAAAAAAAATCATTTTTAAATTTCGGCATTACCATCAGTACTTATAATGAAACTACACAATTATGAAAACTGTTTATTTATTTCATTTGATTATAAATTAAGATAGTTATTATTATCATGTTTATCAAATTATTATCATTATCATTTAGTTATTATGTATCTTACGAGTTTTATGTAATGGCAAGAGAAACTGTTGTAATTGAATTCTTTGTAGATAAGTGATCTTCAAAATTCCCAGAAAAAAAAGAAAAAGAAAATTTATTGAAAATAAATTCAAATGTATATATTCACATATATTCTTATTATATCTAAAAAGTATTCAATAGAAATTATCATTCTCCTTGAGTTGGTATATATAAAAAAAAAAAAATTAAAAAATTAAAAAAAAAAAATACAAAATATGGTAGGTCAACAAAAGTGCATGAGAATTAAAAATTGGTAACAAATGTTATGTATATTCAGATTCTCTTCTGTAGGTTTCATTAATGTGCATTTCTTGTATGTTATACAGTATTATGATAAAAAAAAAAAAAAATAAAAAAAAAATAAAAAAAAAAAAATAAGAGAATAAACATAAGATAGCAAAAAACACAGCTGCATCTTTTATTTTAACATATTTATACTTTCCAAAAAAAATCCAAATAATCCACACAATTCTTACGAGTAAAATATCATCATCAGGAAAACCAGTAAAAAACAAAAGTTTATTACGAAGAAGGTACGTTTTTATCACGTATATTAACATTATTAATACCATTGTTTATTAAATTATTCAGATAAGATACTTGTGCAAGATTTTTGCGAGCTTCGTGCATACGATATAATACTGGACAATCTAAAGAAGTACAATCGGGATAATCTCGTCGTCCTACGCAAGAGTAACATATCTGAAATAATATATTAAAGTTTATTATTTTATAAAAATATATATAAGTTTATTTAATAATATCAAATGATATATTATATACTTACTTCATTAAATTGCTGGTACGTACGTTCAAACCATCTTATTTTTTCATAAATTGTAAGGATTGTTTTATCAGGTTGTGCCATACATTCTGAACAAATTTCATTAGTGGACTGTTCTCCGCAAATGTTACATTCAGTTGTATTAAAAAATTGACAAATAGTAGATTTTTGATTTTTTGTATTTAAATAATCTAATTTATCGAATGATTGTCGATGAGACATTTCTTGATACCTGTTTAAGATTTGAATAATACAGTATTACAAGAGAGGCAATATTGGATTGAACAAAAGTATCTCTCTCAGTACAGATTAAACTATAATATTAGGTTGAGAAAAAGGTTATCCATTATTTTTACGTTAACTTCAATCAAGCCTTTATTTAACAACATACTTCTGGTTGTCTGATTTTGGTCAAATATGTATGCATTGTTTTATTCGTTAATTTATTGCCGTTTTAAAGGTAGCTTCACAATACCTGTCTCATAAAAGTCTTACTTTGTCCCCAACGTAATATAATAGATAGAAATGTATTTTGTGTAACTTACCAGTTATTAACATCGATGCCAAATAAATTGAAACACCGATTTATAGGTGGTATAATAACTTTGGTTATATAATAAATAGAGTTTGGATATAAACCAGGATCGCACATTACTTCCCATGGTGTACGAACACAATGAATTAATGCTTGATTTGGTGCACCAGCAGTAATAACATAACGCACACGTTCACCGGTAAGAGGTATTGCTCGAGGATCTTTACGCATTAATCTGCGTGTTAATTCTAATGCTGGAACAACAGCATTAGTTTTATAACCATCTAAACCACGAAATTCCTTGGCAAATGTTAAATCCTCTATTGAGACTCGCCTGCATAAAATTTTATTGAATTGTCTAATAAGGTATTTTTTTATTAAAGAGATGTCTGAAGTATCAAATAATATTTTCAATGACTTTTCAAGGATCTAAAAAGTAATCGTTAATTATTATATGTATAACTCTTACTTTGTTAATTTACTTTCAAATAAATAAACATTTTTATTTGTTTGTAATATATAGTATACCTTTGAAACAGCAAAACATCCATCTCTACGTACAGTTTCAATACCTTTTGCCAAATATTCAGGAATTTTTTGATCGGAAGTTTCGTACATATATCCACAATAACGTTTCTTTGTCTACAAAATAAAAATTCAATAGCTGTTATTTATTTACATTTAAAGAAAATAATAATTAACTATAATTATAGAAACTTGATATTAGTATTTTTTTTTTTTTTTAATAGAGTGTAATTCATATTTACTGGTTAATGATAAACAATTATAATTTTTGTAGTTTTTTTTTTTTTTATAATTTATTTAATATTTTATAGATTTTTCGAAAATATCGAATAAACATTAATGATAAGAATAGAAGAAGATCTTTCTTTTAAATTAAATTTAATTAAATATGTAACTAACTATATTATGTATATTTTAATTTGTTTTCGATTTACACGATATTCTGAGGAACTGATCTTTGAGGGGAAAGTAACAAAAATATGAAACGTTTAACCTTTGCTCGCAAATATCATAAAAATTATAATAAAATAGAAAACCTAAACGCCTAAACCTAACTTATCGATAAATATTGGTATAAATATCAATATTTTCATATTTCAGTTCTTTACATAATAGTATAAAGTGTACAACCTGAAAATTGATTGTATTTCATGTTTCAGTAGAGTTCCCAGATTATAATACCTACCTGTAAAATAGATGGTTGAAGAATTTTTTCAAATTTTAGTTTTATAGGAGGTGGATTGGCAGCTGTAATAGTGTCCGCCATGTCAGCACCAATTTTGAATGCTTCTTGTCGTGATTTTCCAGGTAAAAGAATAAATAAAGAATCTGTATCTCCATAAACAACTTTGGCGCCCCATTTAGGTGTAGACTCCACTATTTTTATAGCACGTTCCAGTGTCTCCCTTCCTTTACTAACAACACTGTCACCTATCTTTGAATGAAAGTTCAAAATAATTATTTATTTATTGGATCAATATATTTATAATAAAAAATAATGCTTATTCCACGTATGATTAATTCATATACCTCAATGCATGGCATTCTGCCACTAAAATTGGCAGATGTATAACCATAAGTAACATTTGCTATTAACTTTAAACCCAATTGTTGCGAATGAAGCATACGCTGAAGATTATGATTATCGGACGAATGAAGTTTCATTGAATTCTTTACCATTATACGAGTATTTAATATTTCTGCAAGCATTCTTGGTAATACACCTTTACGTACTTCAGATTTAACAAAGGCTACACCATTTGGCGCAAAATTCATTTTTCCTTGCAACTTTAAAAGAGTATTTTTATTGATTTTTAATGTCGTTGCGCCAAATACAAATGGTATAGACCTAGTGAATATTTGATATTACAATAATATAATATTTAAATCGAAATAAATATTAATTACACATATATTGAATTTTCTTTTACTCACTGTCCTAAGTGTTCAACACGACCTAAACAAGTTGAAAAGCAATAATTATAAGCAATTATAATGCTTGGATATAAACTTTGAAAGTCAAGAACTACAAGTGGATCTGTATAAAATTTAGATTCTGGTTCCATAATCAATGGTAATGCTGCTGGTGCACGCATTTTAGCTCTTTGTTGTATAGAAGGTGATACTGGAATAAAATTTAATGGTTTTGCAAGTCTCAACATCATCGATTCAACGCGAAATTGAGAACCTCGTGAGAATACTTCATAAAATTGTATTCCGAAAAGTCGTGCATGTTCACTCGTTCTACCTGAAGAAATTGATCAATATTACAGAATTTATATAATAATATTTAATTAATTAGAAATCAATTAAATAATAAAAAAAGAAGAATATCATTTATCTTACCAATAATATCCAATTGAGAAAGAATTCTTAAATTTCCTGAAACTCTAATAACATAATAATCAATTACTCTACTCTTCATTGCAATATTTGAACTTTTCCACCAGTTGGTTAATGTCTTATAGTTATGACATGAAACTCTTTCCTTCATCACATTATACATAATACTTTCAAATGTATAACTTGATAATGCTAAAATAATAAATACAATCAATTATTATTTATAAAATATAAATTATTATGTATTCATTTATTACTGTACTATTAATCCTCTACAATGTACAGGTAACTTTAAAGTAACACGTTTCAAAATATACATATACAGTGTAATTTTAAGAACTAAGACCGTTTATTGTTCTTTTTTTTCTTTTTTTTTTTTTAAGTAAACATTGAAAAAAAATCATGGAGGAAAACATCATTTAGTATAATACATCTTAATTTCCTATTTTCTTATTTTTTTAAATGAATGTACCGATGCATCTGCCAAAAATCGGCATTTTGGAGAAAAATTGTTTATACAAGTATTATTTACTTTTAAGAAGGGAATATTATGAGACATATATTGTTTTTTACTTACAATTAGCAAAAAAGTTTAAAGTTAACGCTTTTTTTTTTCTTTTTAAATAAAAACCTACATTTTATACAATAATAATATATTATATTTTGTTAAAAAAGAAATCAAATAAGATTGGTCCAAAACATTGTTTATCATCTTGAATTCGAGAAAGATGAAATTATAGAGGTTTAATTAAAAATTACGCTTATTAATTAATAATAATTAATAAATAAAAATATCATTTTTACATACACACCTACTTCATGTCTCATTATCCTCCAAATATTAAGAAATATACGGCCTGGTACTTTTATTTCTGAATCTTCGGAGAACATTTGAAAACCATAATTAGACGAAATATTTGGAGTTCTTGAAATGTATAAAGGAAATGGTTTAAAGCCTAAATGTGAGGCTCTTTGAAAAATGTAACCCCAAGATGAAACTTCCACTTCCCAACCAATTAAGATATCAGGATCACAACGACGAATTAATGTTACTAAATGATTTAATAATTCTACCTCATTTTCCACATATTGTATTGATGTTGGAATAAGAGGGATGTGAGAATTAATGAAATTTATTGGTTGTTCATCAGATGAACGGATAATAATTGTTCCTATAATCATATTTAACTTTGATATGAAATGATTAAATAAATTATTCATAATCCAAAGGGATTAAATCCATTTTTAGAATTTTTTAAAATGTTATTATCAAAGTATTTGATTAATAATTAACTTTTTATATTTAAAAAAATATATTTCTTTAATAATTAAGCTTAACATTTCTACTTTTCTCTGCTTTTTATTATATGGAATTAATCGATTTGGTAAATAAGTAATTTAAGTATAAATTATATATATATATATATATAAATTACAAATCATACCATACTCCATTTGCTTGACATCAGAAGATATTGGAATATCATTGTGAATAGCATAAAAAATTGCTTCTATTGGGTCATATTGGGGATTAGGAAGAAAATCTTCACGTGTAGGAATATGTACTTCCACAGAAAGTAATGTTATATATTGATGCTAACAAAATTATATATTATGAATATATAAATTGAAATGATATTATTTATGATTGCGCTTATTATAAAATTTGAAATGAAATATTATTTACCATAGCTAAAATCCTAGAATTTTGAAGATTTTCATTTGAAGCATTGCCGATTTTTTCATGTAGAGAATATTCTATCTGTCCATGAGAGATTCCTAGATATTGTGATTCTCTTTTATCCTTGTGTTTAAATGTATCATTAAATGTATTTTCTAATGTGTTCTTCTTTAATGAATTAGAATTACTAGAAGAAGGAGATTGCCCATTTGTAGAAGTATTATTGTTGTCAACTATATGGATTCATGCAAAGAAAAAATTGAATCATTAATTCTTAAAACATATATTGGGTGTCCTGTAACTGCAGCTAGCATGGGATGATTCAACGTGAAAAATGAAGTATAAAATTTGTTCGTATAGGACTTTGTTTTGGAAAAAAAAAAATAAGTTTCTAAATATATCTAATACACGTACATTTGACTAAGTTCACAATCCTAGAAACTAAAAGCCTTGTTCAATAAACATAAGAGTAGAAACATAAGATAAAAGAAATTTCATTTTATTGACAATATTTATAAACATGTTAAGAAACATAAAAATACTATTCGAAATATCCAAGAATAATATAATGAAATACACAGAGTTAAATTTGAAACAAAGAAAGCCCTCGTATGAACAAATTTAATTCTACATTATGGACTGAGTTTTGTATGAAGAATCAACCATTGTACGCTAATACTACTAATTACAAGACACACTGACTAAAATAAATGTTGTGTATAAATTAAAAAATAATATATATATATATATATTTACTATTATCTATATTATTATAATAATATTAATTTTAGTAATAATTTTATTGTGCAATTATTCTTACTTAGTTGATTGTTTATAGGAGGACAATTTTTCGATTTCAACCATGATTTAACAGATTTTAGTTGAGGAGGCTCCATAAGAGTTCTTATCGTCAATAAATTATAACCCGCGAGAACTTTTTTCATATGATTTGACTTTATGTTTGATCCAGCAGGATAAAATTCATTTACTTTCATTCGTCGCCATAATTTAATTCCCGTAATTCCCTCTAAACTGGAATTGAATGATTTAATCACTGGTATATTGAAAGCGTTAGATGACATTTCTTTTTGTTTCATTAAATCAAGCTTATTACTAAAAAATGGTTCTGTTCGAGTCCTCTTTGAAATATCACATGTTACCAAACTTTGTAATATACGTTCTCGCGAAGGTGGATTAAACTTCGTTATAATTGTTATTGGAACTCTTTTTGTTTGATTGTCCTTGCTTACTGTATAACTGGATTGAAAAATTTGAGTTTCATTTTTCATTTTTTCTTCAATATATTGTGTAAATGTTACGTTGTGTATATTTTCTTCTGTATCTCCTTCAGAAACATTTAATTCGTTAATTTGAAATGATATATCATTAGGAAAATTAGAATAAGTTGTTTTGTCATTTTTATATGTAATATCTGATTTCTTTGGTTGATCATCTGTAGATAAACTTTTCCTATCTAGATTACATTGAGATACGTTAGGTTTAGTTATATTACCTGTAAAAATAATATTCATTAAATGTGTGTGTTTATATAATATATTCTTATATTTTCTAATAATTTTGTTTACATTTTAGATCATCTGATTCAGAGAATACCAATTTCCTAGGAAGTATTTTACAATCTTGTTTTGGAATATTGGAATTTATTACATTTTTATTGCTGGATCGTAATGTTTTTGGAGAACTAATAATAACATTCAATGGTGAATAATTTCTTGGCGAATTTGGACTTTTTTTTAATAGTCCTTGCTTATTAATCTTTGACTTGTGCATTTTTTTTTGTAAATCTTCATCATCCATACTTTTAGATTTTGTAAGCCTATCACATTTATGAGTTTTAAGATCATCTGTTTTTTCTTCCTGTTCAATATCAATTACACTTTGTTTAATAGATGATTTATGACGATCATAAGTACAACTACGTGTTTCTATTTCATCCAAAATTATTATATCTGGATCTATTGTAGTAGAAATTGGATGATTTTTATTAGAAAGTGTTGAAGATGATGCAATTTCAAGATTTGGTTCATCGACACATGACTGTTCCGCATTTTCTGTTTTCTTTTTCTTACATTTTTGTGATGAACTACCAATTTTATTGGATTGTGTATTTGTTTTTCTTTTCTTTTTAGATTTTGGACCTGCTACAAAATCATTGGCACCATCAAATTGGGGAAAATTGAATTTACTTAAATTATTATCACGATCTGTTTGCATATTTTCTTCATTTGATTTTTGTAATTTTTCTATTGTATTATCTGGTTGATTTTGACTAAGTATAGTCAGGTCCAAATTTGTTAAATTTAGCTGTTCACTTTCATCTTCTTCACAATCATATAATACTTTATTATCCTGTTCTGAATATTGAGATCCTAATATACTATCATCATCTACAATTCTTTTTACATCATCGCTTTCTGATAAATCAGCTAACATTTCCACTAAATTCATATCATCTTCATTTACTACAATAACATAAAAAAAAAGAATCAAGATTATTTTTAATAGGTCCAACAAATGTTTAGTAACTTATTGATTATTAGTAAAATATATTTTCAATATTTACAAGAACTTGTATTGTGAGAGTTGTTTTCGGTTGAAAGAGATTCTAATAAAAAATATGAAGATAAATCCTTCAAATTATCTGACTTTATTTGTTCCTTTTCATTTATTTTTTGTGATGAAAATGGTGTAATATGATTTACAACACACGAAGCATTTAATGAATTGTCATCCTCCTGTGCTTGCAATGGATAAGAAATTTCTACAGTTGAGTCTGATAAAGTTGTATTTTCACGTTCCTAGAAATAAATAAAATGATATTAATTTGAATTATATGTTATATAAAAATATCAAAAAAGTATAAAGCACCTAATTTGATTACCTTGAATAATTTTCGTGATAAAGTTGTTGATAAATAAAGCAATCAAAATGGAATAAGAACTAAAATTGATGTTGGTTAATAAATTATTGTTATACATTTGATGCAAAAATCATTAACAAAATTGCATACGATTATCAAAATCTGTCTCATGTAATTTCTGATGAAACGATAGATAAAATGATTAGGCATTCCATTTAAAAAAAAAAACCAAATAGACCATCAGATCTCCTAAATGTATTCCCTTATAAAGAAATCATATACACCACATTATGGTTTTTTTTTGGATACCATGTAATCTCTGCAGAAATAATTTATTATTTAAATGTACAATTTAGAAGTTATTCGAGATAATCAAGTTAAGTGCTTTATATATATTGTATATTTATAATAAAAAAAATATCTTTATATAAAAATATTAATAGATACCTGTAAAATATCTTGAAGTTTTTGAAGAATTCGTTGTTCTTGATTATTATCATTAACTGTTGGTACTACGATTCGTTTTTCAGGACTTTTAGGATACAATAATTGTGAATTAACATCTTCTAAACCAGCTTGTAATCTTCTTGTTTTTTCCTGTTTCCAAATTTCAGCAAGACCAGGATTTAATTCTATAACTTTATCAATTGCTCTTCGATTTAATATATCATTGGCTTGCGCATCTACTTCTAAGGCACATATAGTTTGACGATCAACAGACATTGGAAGATATTTTTGCGAATCATAGGATTCTATATTGTTCATTTGATTTGTTTCTTCTTTAGTGGTTGAAAGCGTATGCCAACGATGTTTCATTTTTTTGATATTTATAAAATTCATACCGTACAAATTATAATCCATCATAAATTGTAAAATAAATGGAATATGTGCTTCATGTGGTTGTAATTTCAAATTGCTTATTGAACCATTCTGAAATTGATATTTTTTTTTATATTATTCATTTTCTAGCAAAGTATAGTAATAAAATATACAAAAAATAGTAGTATGTATGAACATTTAACATCTTCGTGACAGAAAACGTAGTCATGTGTCATTTCAAATTCTGTAATTAACTTAATATAAGAAAATAATCCTACGTCATTTCAAAATTGGCAATTTTTAATTTATTCATTATATATCAAATATATTATTTGAATATTTATTTTTATATTTGAATTATTATTTGTGAATGTTATGACAACATTCTTTATAAAAATAAGAAAAATCTATTACTAATACCAATAAAGATTACTTCAATAAAATTCTTCTACAGAGATTTTTAGAACCAATGTTTTTTAGAGATTTTTTTTTTTTTTGACAAGTACAGTACTCTTTAAATATCGGACCATTTTTTTGTTTACCATCCTGTATATATAAATTTATAATTATATTAAAATAAAATACATACTTGTAACAAATCAGCTACTTTTTTTATAATAGACGGAGTATAAAAATAAATTTTAAAGAAAAGATGTTCCCTTTCATGATATCCATAAATGGGACTGTAAAATATTGGAATACAGTCATCATCTTAATATATATATATAATTAATAATATAAAAATTATATTATAACATATGTATATATATAATATGCAGAATATATTTTTTTTCTATTTTTTTTTCTTTTTTACTTAAACATTTTCTTACATTCCACGAACTAATTGTATTTTGTAAACATGTTGAGTTCTACATGCTGATTTTCCTGATGATACGTTAATGGCATTGTCTATCGATGAACTCAACCGATGCATAAAACTGTTTATATTTTCTTTTATGGTACATGGTACATACATATATGGGAATACACCATGTATATGCAAACATGTTTTTTCTCCTGAAAATATAAACATAACATTATATTGCAGTAATTGTTTGCAAATAATAAAACATTAAGAAAAAATATTCTTCAAATGAAAATTGAATTATCGATAATCATAAGTAAATAAATTTAACCTGTTGAAGTTGGGCCAAATATTCTAATGACAGGTACACGTTTTATTTCATTTCCTCGAAATTCGGAAAATGTTGGATCCAAATCAGGAATAGGATTTGTTTGATAACTATCTATTGTTAATATTCTGACTGAAAGCATAGTTTATTAGATTATGTCAAATTTGTGATTATAAAAGTTTATATACCACCATAAAAGTAAAAACAACACACTGAACAATTGTATCAAAATATTCACTTCATTTTATGACATCACTATATCATTAAAAAATACAAATTTGCATTTGTTTATACATGTCATATGTTATCACATGGTGTAATGCAGAAACAGATCACAGCGCTATCAGTAGTAAGAAGTAGAACTAAATGTTACTTTAATTATAATGTTACCTCATATGGTAACATATGATAGGATGAAAAAGAAAAAAGTATAAATAATATTTTTCAAAAATTTAAGATAAGTATATAACTATAAATTAGACATTTTCTAATTTGTAAAGTATCAATAACAGATTTATACATGAAAGAAAAAGTAACCTATAAATTTAGTTTTTAAATTTTGTAATAATTAGAGTTGTCACAAATTTGTAATATGAAAAATAACATAATAATTGTTACAAAATGTATTAATTCTGTTTAATTATACAATTTGCATCACTTGAAGATTAGAATTTTTCAAAAAAAAAGCCTATTTTCAGTTAAAATAACTTTATTTTTTTTTAACAATTTTATTAATTATTATTACACAATGAAATTTAACAAATTTATAATTTTTGAAAACATTATTCAAATTTATTTAAATTGATCAATATTTTGAAATTAATTTAAACACAAACTTTTAAATATCTCAATTTATGAATAAATTTATAACGATAATCTGGATCTGAAAATCAACTAACTTGGGGGCGCCACATACTACTTGACGCATCATATATGCTACATATGTCAGTGGTTTTCAATGTTTTTATATTTTTGGCGCTCTTATTAAATCCAGTTGTTTTCAAAAAATTAATTTCGTCATTTTTTATTTTTAAGGAATTGACTACAAATAAATAAAAGATATTTCATTTGTAGAGGCTTTTGTATATAGTTAATACTATGCGAATTAATGATTTGCACTAATTGTAAGATTGCATAAGATTTCTCATCTTTTCATCAGTGACGTATTAAGTGATAAGCATACTAAGTGGCCACGGGGTCTTGGAATACCACCAAAAGGTCCCCGAGGTCTTAAAATGTTTTTTCATTAAGATTCGATATTTAAGGGATATTATGGTATAACTATATACAATGATTGATACATTCTAAAATCTGCTAACTTAAATTGATTTAACTTACTGATTGTTGATATTAACACTTACAGCATGATTAATTCATCATTGATTAATCATTCTTTGTTGTCATCATCAAAATCATATTGCTAATTGATTCTACTAATCTTTTAAAAATATAATTACTTTACTTAATTATTAAAATGTGTTCCATTCAAACCATTATTTATATAAACCAATCACCAAACGTTTTCCTTCTTTCAAAAATATTATTGAGCAACATTATAGAATAAGTGGCTTAAATACCGTTGATTATTGCAGTATGTATACATATATGTATGCTTTTTTGCTGTTAATAACCTAATAAGAGTTTTCTCGAAATTTTTAAAGCTTGGGGCCCTATCTCGACTATATCTATCATTGCTTATTATAACGTATTTAAAATAAAAGTAGAATTATGAAAATTTTGTAATATTTCATGACTGTTAAGGATTTCTATGGCATTTCAGAATACACTTTGAGAACCACTGATGTTCTATATATGTATGGATATAAAGAAGGGGAAGCTGCAGTGATGAAAAAAAAAGGTTATCAACTTTGAAAAAGTTGGAACTTGCATTCTTTTCCCAGATTTTGACAATCTCGTCTGAGAAATTATCGGATTTCAAATTTTCCCGGGGCGTACGATAATTTTCTGCCGCGTACGATAATTTGGCGCCCCTGTGTCGATCAAACGAACTAAAGTCTCTGGGATCACTGCTGCTGAAACGATTTGATAGTGTATGATAGTGCCGGGTTGAACTTGGGTTATTTTTGATATTTTATACTTTTTAAATTTTACAAATTGATTGTTATATCAATTGTTAATAATTATTAAATATTGAAAATTATAACTGTACAATTTGAGAAAGAAAAATGTCAACTGCAAAGCCTGCATATAAAATCGGTAAGTAGTTATAGGCAAATTTTAAAATATAACAGTAATTTTGCTAACATGTGCTCTCGTTCATTTTGGAGCAATAATTTTCTACTTATTATATAAAAGATTTTTAAATTATATTATATAGTATAGATAAATTTATTATTAATTAGAATATATATTTATTCAATTTTATAAAATTTCTTCGTTTATTACATATAAGTATTTAATTGTCTATTTCGCGTATTTTTTTTTCAATACATGTAATATATGCAACGTGTTACAGGAGTATTCATACCACAGTTACTATTATAAAATTTGAAATAATTGATATTTGATTGTAATGCTAAGCTTTCAAATGTTTACACATAGAAACCTATTTTAGGATCATAAAACTGTCAAATTAATGTCAATTTTATTACAATGAAATATTTTATTGTCATGAAAATATAATTTTACTTAAAGTATACAAAATTTGTCTCACAAGAATATTTGCATTTACGTGTGAGATTTAATAAAAATACAATTAATATTTTTAGTTAGATCTCATTTGTATATATATATATAATATTTTTCAAATAATAAATAATAAAACAGTAATAAATTATATTATCAAATAACTTTAATCTATTAACGTTTCTCATGAACAATGTATATATATTTTTTTGTTTATAAATGTAATTTATAAATGTCAACTAATATATAAATCAACAACTAAAGTTTTGAATGTATGTTTATTAATAACGTATATCATAACATATGACATTATAAATAAAGAATATATTTAAATAATAAATAAGGTAAATTTAAATATTTACTTTACAATATTTGAAATATATATATATATATATATATATGTATGTATAAAAGGAATGGAAATGTTTGCTTTTTTAAATGCAAATTATAGTTCATGATCTTTATACCTTTTCTTAAAGTTAACATATTTATTAAAGATTTTCTTATTTTTTTGTTATAGCTGATGTATTATTGGCTGATTGGGGCAGAAAAGAGATAACCTTAGCTGAAAATGAAATGCCCGGTCTGATGGCAATAAGAAAAAAATATGGTCCATCTAAAATATTAAAGGGAGCTCGCATTGCGGGTTGTCTTCACATGACTGTACAAACTGCAGTTCTTATTGAAACTTTAGTAGAACTTGGAGCAAAGGTGACATTTAAATAATAATAGTAATATAATATTAATAGTTATTTATTATTGTACTTAAACGTACAATTTATAATTTATATATTTCCTAAATATATATTTTTACAATCAACAATTGTACTTTAAAATAATATTTCTTAACACTAGATATATCACCATTTTCAGTATACCTATTTCTACCACACTAGTCAAAATGACTGGTGTATAAAAAAAAATGTTTAACAATAATAATTTTAATAGATAAATGGATTTATAGACATTTTTCAATTATTTACAGAACTAGAAAATGTTACATGAAGTAGAAATTTTCAATTAAAATGGCCCCCGACTAGTCAAAATGCCTGGTCTCTGGTATAACTAGTGTTAACAAATCTTTCGCAAGATTTGAATTTAAGCTAGAAAAATATTTGTTGTTAATGTATTATGTATGACTTCTTATCGTATTTATTGACTTGAACTTTGACCTTTTATTAGAATTATAATATTATGATAAATCTATCTGTAGTATATTATAATACATAACATACATATTCTAGTAAATATTATATTATATTTCAAATGAACGTTTGCTTTTTTTTTTTTTATTGAAATTAAGGTACAATGGTCATCGTGTAACATCTTTAGTACGCAAGATCATGCGGCTGCTGCTATTGCAGTAACTGGAATACCTGTTTACGCATGGAAAGGTGAAACAGAGGAAGAATATTTATGGTGTATAGAACAAACCTTAGTGTTTGAAGATGGTGAACCTTTAAATCTGATCCTCGACGATGGTGGTGATCTTACAAACCTTGTACATAAAAAGTTTCCAGAGTACTTAAAAGATTGTCGAGGAATATCAGAAGAAACTACAACCGGAGTACATAACCTTTATCGTATGATGAAGGAAGGAACTCTCAAAGTGCCTGCAATCAATGTTAATGATTCAGTTACAAAGGTTTGTTTTATACACATTTCATTCGTAATTCAAATGTATAATAGTATTGTTAAAATTAATTTGGTGCCATAAATAAAAACTAAAATTGTTTTTAAAAGGTACACAATTAATTTCTATGCTTATATAATACATTATATTATTATGAATTTCTTATCTTTTTAATTATCTTTTTTAACTCATTGCATATGATAATCTGTATGCCCAATACTCTTTCATGGTCCGTACATTTTAGAGCTTTCCAAAATAATTTGGTATAATACATACCATATGTATATAATTATATATATATTATATAATTGTATTATACTAATAATTTGGTATAATCAATTTTCCAAAATATTTGGTATAATACATATATACATATGTATATAATTTTTAAATTCACATTTATAAATTTCTAAATATTGACTATAAGAATTCATTGGTTCTTTTAATCAAATATTATAATATAATTTAATGAAATTAATTTGAATTCATAGAGTCGTTGGTACTACGTGCACATAAGAAAGTATCGAAACAAAAAATCTAGTAACCCATATATACAAGAATTCACATAATATAATAAGTTAATTTATAAAACTTAGAAATTGCAGAAATAATGTGTTGTAAAATATGAAAATATATTATTTTTTGTTTTAGAGTAAATTTGATAATTTATATGGATGTAGAGAATCTTTGATAGATGGTATCAAAAGAGCAACTGATATCATGATCGCTGGAAAAGTATGCGTGGTAGCAGGATATGGAGATGTTGGTAAAGGATGTGCACAAAGTCTTAGAGCATTAGGTGGTCGTGTTATTATTACAGAAATAGATCCCATAAATGCATTACAAGCAGCTATGGAAGGATATCAAGTAAATGTCAAAGATATTTATTTAATTGAAATCTTCGATATTCCATTTTTTTAAGCTTTACAATTTTATTATAAATAATTGCATTATTTTGATCAGGTAACTACAATGGATGAAGCATCTACTATTGGTCAAATTTATGTTACAACAACAGGATGTAAAGACATCATTGTAGACAAACACTTTTTAAATATGCCAAATGATGCTATTGTTTGTAATATTGGACACTTCGATTGTGAAATAGATGTTACGTGGTTAGAAAAGAATGCAGTAGAAAAAGATAATATCAAGCCTCAAGTGGATAGATATACTTTGAAAAACAATAGGTAATTGATCATTATTAATGTTCAATACAATAGGGTTGTTTTATTTTTTACATACATAAAGCCAGAGTTGGTTAAAATATTTTATATATTGAAATTTCATTTCTTATTTGAAATATTAATGTTATTTTAATTTGCAACGAATCTATTATTTAAAATAAAAATTATTCAAATATATTATTCAGCTCTGCATAAAAGCCACATATTCTAGTATTTTCACGATTAATGAAGATATGATAAGGATAGAAACAACATATGTGGTTTTCAATTCAAATAACCTTGAAATATAATATTTAATAATATACTAAATTATTAAAAATATTCAAATTTTAGACACATCATTTTACTAGCAGAGGGACGTTTAGTTAATTTGGGATGTGCGACAGGACATTCTAGTTTTGTCATGAGTAATTCTTTTACAAATCAAGTATTAGCACAGATTGAATTATGGACTAAATCTGAAAAGTATACGATAGGCGTTCATATGCTGCCAAAGAAATTAGATGAAGAAGTTGCAGCACTACATCTCAATCATCTTGGAGTAAAATTAACCAAATTAACACCAGAACAATCGAAATATCTTGATGTTCCTGTAGAGGGTCCTTATAAGGCTGATCATTATAGATACTAGCTTTTTTGTATCTTTTTTGTAAGCATTCTATATGTACTTGAATAAAAATATTGGCATATATAAAATATTCTGCAACATTTTTAGTAATTTTGTAAATTTGTAAATGTACCTGTCAGGTATTTAATAAGATTATATAAAACGTTGATAAGAGGGAGATAATCAAGTAGTTATTACAATACATTTTGTCGCCATTTTTAAAGATTGGAATTATAATCAACTCTTCCCATTGTTCCGACAATAATTTCTTATTTCATATTAATTAATTTAATTCAACAATTTCTTCGATCAATCTATTCACCCCCCCCCCCCATTTTATTAGCTTCGCAGGAATCGAGTCAATCACCGTTTCCGGTAATTTATGAATATTATAAGAAATAAACCCTACAATTATCTTACTTCTGATAACCGGCACACATGATTTTTTACCTTTAATTATTTTGGATGCCTTGTTTCATGGTTCTGCAGAATTATACATTTGTGCTGTAATCCATTATATTTTTTGTGATATCTTTGTTTCCACTGATGGCATTTGAAAACAATATTTGCTATTCCTGATATGAATATCAATTTTTACAAGTTATTATACAACGATTTCTATTCTAAAAAATATTAAACAATTTCTTTTTGACGTATGATAATAAGACGTTATCAATATACGAAATTGATACGATAACGATTTGACATATCTATTATCTCTTCACTTAATTGTTATGTTATGGATAGTAGTAATTCGAGTTCTTTGATCAAATTTTTCTGTATTTAACGAATTCGTAAAACCTTCTTTGAGCTTATTAAATTGACGTTTATGACCTTTGCCCTTGTCAAATTCAGATCGCGAAGATTTGGTAGTTTTCTTTTATTTGCTAATTCATAAGTCCTATATATCTGCAAGGCAAAAAATACAATGAACTTTGGAATTAGAAGCCTTATTTTAGTGATGGCGAACCTATGACCCCTGAGTAGACGCTAACATGCCACGCTCAAACCACACAATGCTCTACCACAAGCAAACATCTTACCACGTGTCAAACTTACTTTTATTTTTTAAACGCTTTGTCATACACACGCACACACACAATCATACTACGTATTTCACTCCACATAAATTTAGTTGAATAACGAAATTTGCTTTTGTAATGACGTTTAGATCAATATATTTCTATGAAAAATGTCAATGAATTTTTTATAAAATTAACAAACCTAACAAATAGGATTGAAAATAAATGGTTGTGTAGGGAAAACATTTATTCCGTATCCGGTTAAGGATATCTGATTTTCCTGCGTTGTCGGTACCACCCAATAGTATAGAAAAACACCTTTTATTTAACAAATTAATTAGTTACAATCCGTTAGTTATAATCCACACGCAATAACACACTCACACCGCTGCTTTTCGTAAAACACTTAGACGCTAAATCGCACTTATCGTATCGTCACTCGCTATACACTTTTCGCTCAATCATCCTCTAAGTCGCACGTGTTCTCTCGCTCAAAACACACTTTATTGTATCGCCTAATCATACAACTTAAATCGCACGTCTCGCTCTAACACTCTCTCTCTCTCTCTCTCTCTCTCTCTCTCTCGTAGCAATTTTTCGCCAGGAAACAAGCTTATCTTTGTTTACGCCATCCTCTCCTTATGAGGCTTCTTCCCCACCCTGCATCCCCGAGGGACAAAACATCTTCAAAACGCTCTCGAACCTTTGGACTCACACCGACTTACACATACAACCTCTTGAACCTTTGGACTCACACAGACTTACACACACAACCTCTCGAACCTTTGGACTCACACGGACTTACACACACAACCTCTCGAACCTTTGGACTCACACAGACTTACACACACAACCTCTTCGATTTTTTTTTTTTTATGTGTATCGCATGAGTTTGAGAGAGACAACATCAACTTTTCGTTTTTTGCTGCCATATTCATGCAGAGACATTTCTCCACTTACAACACAACCGCATATGGTTTGTTTCCTCTATCTGTAATATCTCTATGGATATATGGCTTCAGAATTCGTAATTCTTATTCATACAAGCTCGCATCAAAATTACACAAAATTACATACATCACCAGGCTATATATCAAACTTCACACTCACATTCTTTTCTCCCTTCACGCTTTTTCAACTTTCGCCCACATACAAAGTCTTACACAAGTACACAATGCTACCATTGAAATAATAAAACGAATAATTAACTTTATAATTAAATCATGCAAAAACTTATATTACTACCCAAACAAAAATGGTCAATTAAATCTTAACTTATGAAGAACGAAAAATAACCACTAAAGCTATTAACATTTTATTCTTTAACAGTTAAACTAGAGGTTTGTCTCTTCCTCGGTCCTTTGCTTTCATCTACTTGTGAATTACGTAACAGTTATTTCGCAATGTCCTATTTTATATTTTGCTGCTAGTTTAGGAGACAATGTAATAGAATTAGTATGTTTTCCACCCTTGCCCTTACCGTCACCTTTCTTATGCTTCTTGGACCTTTTTTGTTTTTACCCCAATCTTCGTCGCTATCACTATCACTAACACTTTCTTCATCAGCAGAAGAATCCCTCTTATGCTTACTGGTTGATTTCTTAGTTGGACTTCTCCTTGTGGGTTTCTTTTCCTCCTCCTTTTCTTCCTCTTCTTCCTCTTCATTCTCTCTGTCATCTGATCCTTCACTAGCGGCTTTATTCTTTTCCTTTTCGCTGTTCTGCTTTCCTTGTAAACCCTCTATAACTAAATCATGTACTTCCTCTCTTTTTGCTATGAGATCGACATCTAACTTTTTTTCTATCCGTTGTTTTACTTTCTCCTCTAACATTGTAATAAGGTCTGTATCTTTTAAAATTGCGGTTACCTCCCTACGGATCTCGTCCTTAGATATATCAGCCATGACAGTTCTTCTCGTTGTGCGTACTGCTACTGACGAAATCGCGCTCTCTTTAATTTTAGCGGCCCCTAAATGAGATAAGCCTATTCGGCTCTCTGAGTCACAAACATTTATGCTAAATACGTTCGGCAGATTGCCTTCCGTTGGTTTCGCTTTGCCCGAACGCCGGACCTCGACGTGTCCAGACTCTATCGATAATTTTACGTTATTTAAGAAATTTGTCCCTAAGACAAGATCATGTCGCATTCACAAATTAGGTACCAAATAAATTTTAGTCTTATATACTTCCCCGTTAACCTTGATGGCAGCCATAAAGTGACCTAGCGTTCTAGTTAATTCCGTACCTATACTTCTGAAATAGCTGCGTTCGTCTTCTACTCGCGGCGCTCCCATTTCAGCGTAGGCGCTTTCCCTTATTAACGTAATATCGCTATCCGCATCTATCAGCGCAGAAATTTCTGCATTGTTTATCGTAACAGTCTTTTTCAAAAAGCTCTTACTTTTTGAAAAATCTTCATTAATCTGAACAACCGTCACTGATGGTATCTTTTTGGGACACCCGGCAGAGATGTGACCGAATTCCTGGCAGTTGTAACATCTCATACCCTTTTCCCTCGATGGGCAGAACGCCGCTCGATGTCCGCTCGCTCCGCAGTTGCGGCAACCTTCGAAGATCCGTTGCTGTTCATTTGATCTTTGCTGCTTTTCCTCACTCGTTCTTCCCGGTCTTCTCCATACTCAGTTAGCTTCGGACTCTGTCGGCAACTGTACCTTTTCGAACGAAGTAAAGAGCTCAGATTTGTTTCGGAATCCCCTAATTCTCGCCGTGTTCTGCAAAGTCATGTCTGGGATTCCCTCGATCAGATGTTCGATCAGCTCTTCGTCAATAACGGACGCGCAGATCCCCAAGATCACCTTATCGTGGAAATACTTGCTAAAACTTTTACCATGGTTCCACTGTCGCCGCAGAAACTCTCTTTTTCTATCAGCCCAAGAAGGGAGATGTCGAAACATCTTTCTTATTTCATCGAGCAGTTCCTCGTTCGTCATATCAGCGTACTCCGCTCTTGAGTAAAACCAATCTGCAGCTTTCTTTTTTAAGTCGCACGTGTTCTCTCGCTCAAAACACACTTTATTGTATCGCCTAATCATACAACTTAAATCGCACGTCTCGCTCTAACACTCTCTCTCTCTCTCTCTCTCTCTCTCTCGTAGCAATTTTTCGCCAGGAAACAAGCTTATCTTTGTTTACGCTGCCTAGCAACGCTCCCATGAGCAACATGACGTCACACACAAGCTTGCGCTTGTTCTTCGCTACACACGCAAACACACAACACACACCGGATGCTTTTACTCCCACAGTTGTAAGATGCTTAAAACTAATTTATACGTAATTTAGACGTTGCATTACAAAACTAACAGAAAATAAAAACTAAAACGTTTTTTTACTCACTGTTCTCTTTCTGTTTCTTATTGTAAGTGCATCATCGTTCTTATCTACTAATTTAATTCTAGTTAGAAATGCAATACTTAC